AGAGAGTGAAAGATTCATTAGGTGCTACTGCTCTCATCCAGCAAAAGAATAGTAAGACCAGGATCTGACAGACTGCCCTGAAAAGCAGCAGTGGACATTAATAGTTAGTCTTACCTAAAGTCATGTCAGGCACGTCCCACAGATGCCCCGTTTCACACGGAGGGTCAGGCTGATGCCACTCGGAGATGAGCTGTGAGGGGCCTCAGCCCACACCTGTGTCCGCTGCTGCCAGGTGCCGGGATGCAGCAGCCACAGTGTTCCAAACGTACCTCGGGCGTCGATGGCCTGGCTGTATCCCAGCTGCACCTGGCCCCACGAGGAAGCATCAGAAAAGCTGCCCCTTTCCCATTCCAGGGACAGCCAGCAGGCAGCGCCTGCGAAGAGCTGGTCTGGTTAGGACAGAATAAGTCATTGCCCCAGGTGATGGAGGAAGTTTGCTTACAAAGAAAGCTGACTCATTTCCGCATCTTGCACGGGCTGGGCTGAGACTGCGCTCCCCCGAGGACTGGGGGGAAGATGGGGTTCACAGAGTCGGAGAGAATGTGCTTCTAAAAATAACGTCACAGAGACAGTGGCCCCTGTGGCAGCTGTGCGGAAACCCAGTGTCATTTCTCCGTGTTTAAAGTCTGTCTCAGAGTTCGGACTGAGTGTGTTTATTACAGAAATTGGTTTGCATCGTCTTCTTTAATAATCAGAAAGCAGCCAAAACCGGTTTGGCTCAGTGGATGGAGCTTTGGCCTGCGGACTGAAAGGTCCCAGGCTCGACTCCGGTCAAGGGCATGTACGTTGGTTGTGGGCACTTCCCCAGTAGGGGGTGTGCAGGAGGCAGCTGGTCAATGTTTCTCTTTCATCAATGTTTCTAACTGTCTATCCCTCTCCCTTCCTCTCTGTAAAAAATCAATAAATTATATTTTAAAAAATAATCAGAAAGCAGGTGGGTACTCAGCCATGCCCTGCACACACTGGGTCTGGTGAATCAGCAGGCTCAGTCGCTTGATCCAGGGAACAAGCCTTGGGCGCTGTCCCCGCCGCTGGTGCTGAAACCAGCAGCAGGCTGTCGCAGGCTCAGGACCATGCACCCTGAGGATTCTTTCCTGGCCTCTGACTCTGAGGTGCCCTGGTTGGCTGCGCCCAGATTGTTCCTCACAGGATGACCTGTGAGCACCTGGCCGCCAGGCTGTCCTGCCCTGAGGGAGGCCCTGAGCTCTCGGGTTGCGCAGAGAGAAGATTCTCGAGGCCGAAGCTGCTCCTCTGGACCTCCCTCCTCCTAGATGGAGAGGCCTGGCCTGGAGGACTTCCCCTGAGCAGCGCTGTCAGGCTGCCTCTGGGCTTCTCATCCTATTGCTGCCTGCCTCATCCTATTGCTGCCTGCCTCATCCTATTGCTGCCTGCCTCATCCTATTGCTGGCTGTCTCATCCTATTGCTGCCTGCCTCATCCTATTGCTGCCTGCCTCATCCTATTGCTGCCTGCCTCATCCTATTGCTGCCTGCCTCATCCTATTGCTGGCTGTCTCATCCTATTGTTGGCTGCCTCATCCTATTGCTGCCTGCCTCATCCTATTGCTGGCTGTCTCATCCTATTGTTGGCTGTCTCATCCTATTGCTGGCCTGTCCCAGACATTTCTGGGCTCCGTTCCCAGTGATTTCCTGATGTTCAGTCCTTAAGCCTCAGAGGATGGGATCTGTCATGTTCCCTCCATGGGGTCCTCTGCACGACCTTCGGGTCTGGCCCAGTTTGCTGAGTCCTGGGCATGGCCGCGTTCAATCCCGCTGGTCTGGGCCGAGTGCCTTTGTCTCTGTGGGGTCCATGGGGTTTGTGTCCGAGCTGCAGGGCCGGTGCGAGTGGAGAGGGCAGGGAGCTGAGCCTGAGGAGGGTCCTCTGGGAGCACCAGCGTTCAGGACTGCCTTCTAACACAGGAGAAAGCTGCCTGCTGTCAGGGCGTCCCAGCACAGCTCTCGCCAGGACGCCAGCGTTTCTGAACAGTTTGGGAAATGGTCCCAGCAAGGGGCTCCGTGGTGTCCAGTGACAACAGCAAAGGGGGCGTGCAGGAGGCAGTCCGTCCATGACTCCCTCTCATTGTGAGTGGGGATGTTTCTGGACCGTGTGCCCTCCTGATCGGCCCCAGGAGACGGGGCAGAGCGGCGCCTGGAGGAGGGAGGGCACAGCCTGAGGGGACGGCTTGCTCAGAGGGGCGGGCTGCTCTGTCCTGCCCTGCTCTCATAGAGGTATCTCAGCTGAAGGCAGTGCCGTGAGCCCCATGCCCTGCTCTGCTGTGGCAGCAGGAAACCCCGGCTGAACCGTTGCAGGAAGCGAACTGGCCTGGATTCCGCGCTTCGCTGGGCAGACTTGGAAAGCAAAAGCGGGAACATGGCCCCTCCGTGCCTCCACGGGGCGGCTGGTTCCTGCTGCCCATCCAGCGCGACGGGGTTTCCTGACCCAGTTAGAGAGGCCCCCCTTCCAGCCAGCCACCGAGGGGTGTCTGTTCCTCTCCCGCCTCCTTCCCTGTAACTCCAGAAGCCTCTGTCCGCCTGATGGCGCCAGTTCATTGTCCTTGGTGTCTGCATTGGTTATTTCAATAGTCAGTGTAGCCCTGGAGGGTGTGGCTCAGTGGATAGTGTCAGCTGCTGAGGAAAGGGCCCAGTCAGGGCACAGGCCCAGATTGCGGGCCTCATCCCCAGTAGGGGGCATGCAGAAGGCAGTCTATACATGATTATGTCTCATTGTTGAAATTTCTGTCTTTCTCTCCCTCTCCCTGCCTCTCTGAAATCAATAAAATATTTTTTAAATATTAATAAATAAATAAACAGCCCTTGTTTCGTGCACAAACAGGCCCAGACTCCTGGCTCCAGTATTTCCTCTTTCTCTTTAAAACGGTCTGTGTCATGCTCACGCTCATGATTCCTGTGCCATCTCCTCCAGGGCTGTGGCGGCTCTCCCTGCGAAGGCAGTTTCAGAAAGCAGGGCCCAGTCCCAAGGCTGTGCAGCAGGGCTGTGGCGCCCCAGACCCTCCCCCGGACGCTCTGCTCCCCACCTCCCTTCTTCTGCCTCCTCCTCCTCCTCCTCCTCCTCCTCCTCAGGTCCGATCTGGTTTCGTTGGGCCCTCTGAACGGTCATCTCTCCCTCAGGAGATCTGCAGCTTGGTCACACCTGCCAGGAGGCCTTTTCCACACGAGCTGACGTCACTGCAGGGCCCCAGAGGCAGCCGACACTCCCGTGGAAGGCATTCCCACGGGCTGTTCAGTGATTCTTTAAAATATATATAATATTACACATGGGAGTATGGAAGCTATTTCTAACAGAACGTGTGACACAGTCTCCCCAGGAAGGAAAGGGAGGCAGGGAGCCTTCCCGTAAGATGAGATGAAGACCATTTCCGGACCCGCCGAGTCTCCCCCCCCCCCCCACTCTCCCTTCTCCAGCCCCATCCCCAGTCAGCGCGCCATACATCCCAGCAGCCAGCAGCTGGGTAGCACTGCCTCCCATAGGACACGCATTCAGACAGGGGCTGGGCACCGAGGCAATGGGTAGAGTCGAGGTTTGGATTCAGCTTTCACTGGCTGGGCACACATCGGAGCCGGTGTGTGAGCTGAAAGGGAATGTGGATGTCAGGGAGCTGGGGACAGATTTCCCGTGACGCTGCTCTCACTCAGGGAGGGGAGGAAGTGGAAATGCTCCCCACAGCTGCCAGGACTGGGGTCCTGGGCCTGGGCCTGGGCCTGGGCCTGGGCCCCATCTGCACCCTGACCCAGCAGGGGGCACTCACCGTGGGATGCTCACAGCGGGGCACTCACAGGTGAGCCCACAAAGGGCCTCAGGTGCTTCGACTACAAGCCAGTGGCTTCATTCCTCTGTATAATACGGATACACTTGCTGATTTTAGAGAGAAAGGGAGGGAGAGGGAGAGAGATAGAAACATCAGTGATGAGAGAGTCTATCTCTGAGCCACGCCGGCCGGCCAGCGGCTTACATTCTTACAGACCCTCTGCACTCACAGCACGGCTTTGAAAATAGAAGGGACAGCATATATACAAACAATGTACAACGAGCGCAGATACGTGGGAGTCACGGTAAAAACCTTTTTCGGGGACATGTACATGCGTGTCTGTGGAGCTGCTCAGTGCCGTGCTGGAGGTGCTCTCAGATCCACATGGCAGGCTGGAAGCAGGTTCGGAAAGGATGGCCCAGCTACAGGGACTCAGCCAGGGAAGTCAGCTGGCACATCACCGTGGGCCTGAGGCACCCCAGCAGGTGACACCCGGACCACCCGCCAGACCCACATGTCAGAACATGGCACATGGCACACGGCACCCTTGGCTCCCAGGAGGCACAGACTCCCAGGGCCCACAGGTCCCCAGGGGGAAGGGTCGCTGGCCGTGGTGCTGACAGTGCGGCGACCCTGGGAGGCGGCCGGTCTGCAGTCAGAGTGGAGGGAGGGCCGGGCCTGGTGTGTGAGGCGTCGCTGTGTTGAAGCTGTGCTTCCCTTAGACACGCGCTGTCATTCCCGGTCACCGCTCGTGGCCTGTGCCCATCCTCCTGGTACACGCTCCGTCCTCACGTGGGGAGGGGCCGAGTCCTGGTTGTGGAGGCGGCGCTGCCCCCACCACATGCTGTTTATCAAGCGTGGAAACCACTTATTCCAGTCTCTTTGGTGAAGCCCTGGCTGCGGGTTCAAATAGAGAAAGGCCTAATTTCATCATTGGGTCTATTTTTCAGAATTCTGTTAGAATTCATTACACTGAGGTTCTGGAGAAAACAGTAAGACATGAAAGGCAATTTTCTCGTGTGCGTGTCGTCAATCAAGGAGAATCACATGCCCAGTATCTGAGCCTTCATGCACGGGGAGGCACCCGCCTATGCGTGTGAGCGGAGATGGATCCCCAATGGGTCCGGCTGCAAACGCGCCCCCCAGGGAGGGTGCAGCCAGGCGGGGGCTTGACGTGGGCGCGGCGGGGACCGTGGCCCTGTTGGCTGACCGGGCGTCTCTTCTCTCTCTTCCAGGCTCACGGGCATGAACCTGCCCTCGCCGGTCATCAGCAGCAGGAACTGGCTGCGGCTGCACTTCACCTCTGACGGCAACCACCGGCGCAAGGGCTTCAATGCCCAGTTCCAGGGTAAGCGCCTCCCCTGCCTGGCATGTCAGGAACACCAAGAGGCCCCCAAGACCGCTGGTCCTGCCGGCCTGGGAAGCCTGGGGCTCTCCTGCTGAGGACGGGGCAGGGGCTGCCAGCCTGAAAATGCCTCGGTCCCTGAGGGTCCCGTTAACGGAGGAAGCCTGTGAGTGACACCCAGCACCTCATTGTGGTGGGTGCTTCTCCTTTTTCCACGTCCCACAGAGAAAGGGAGAAGGATGGGTTCCTGAGCAGAGGAGCTGGGGATTGAGAAATAAAAGAAAGAAAGAGACAAGAGGCAGAAATGGATCCAAAAGCTGGGAGCCGGCTGGAGGCTGTCACTCTGATGGAGGGACAGTCACACCCACCACAGACAGCACAGCACATGTGTGATTTCCAGAGGGGGGTTAAGGTCCAAGGAGTTTGGGTGTGTCCAGGTCCTCACTCCTGGAATTTAGCATATCAAGACCTGGGTCAGTCAAGGTCCTATTCGTTCCTCATTCCCAGCACGTGGATAAAGATAAGAAATGGGTACTGATCACAGTCTTTTGGGAGGCTGTTTCCAGGAGCCATTCCAGTCACCTGGACTCAGCTGGCATTAATTTAAAGGTCATCCATGTGCATTCCCAAGGGGCCCTCTACACCTCATCCCTAAAGCTTCCCTGCTGCACCGTGCACTGCCAGTTTCCCTTGTTTGGCAGCGATGATTGCTGAGTGTTAGTATCGATGAGTATTTACCCTTACTTCTCCTCGCCTGACGAGGTACATACGTGTCCCAGGGACCCGGTGATGTCTCATCCCTGCCAGAAGGCTGTGCCGCTCAGACGGTGCATGAACACACGTCAGTGTGCCATCATGCCGCTCCGACCTCAAAAACAGATGGGTGGGGCGTAAACCCAGTTCCCTGATTAGTGACTGTGTGTACACGCACTCACAGCTGCTTCGGGGTCCATGGAGGCTGGACCCTCACACTGTCTCTATGTCCAGGTTCTCGTGTTTGCACCTGTACGTGCGGCATTGTTTCCCCTGTGTTTCTAATAACCCAACATCCTCATCCACCCCATGGAAAGAATTAGGTCTAGTAAGAGGCCATTGGAAACAATTCCACTTTCATTTGCAAATAAAGGGTCTGAGGGCTAAACAGTGAGATGGTTTCCCAAGCAAAGACCTCCAATGTCCCCAAGACACGGCCTGGAGAAGGTCCATTCAGCTAAGGCATGAGTTCCCTGACATGAGCCCCAGGGGTGCCAGGTCCCCCAAAGGGGAAAACAGGGGACTCCCCGCCCACCCCAGAACCTCTTCGGTCAGAAGGATGGAGGATTGGCAAACAGCTTCCGGGAAAGGCCCAAGCCAGCGGGGCTAGTCCCGCGGGAGACGTCAGCCATGTTCCACCGGTGGATCTGAATCACGAATCCGTAAGGAGAACGCCAACCACCACCATGCACCCAGGACGCTACGTCTGTGCGGGGTTTCCCAGCCACAGCCCCCCCTCCTCCAAGGCCCCACCTACAGGGAACTGAGGAGCCGCGCTCCCACAGATCGGTGCCTTTGGCCTCCGCACAGGGATTCCGGGAGAGACAAGCCACGGGCAGCGACGCGAGGAGTCGAGACGTGGGGGATCCGAGGGCACACCGGCCTACAGAGTGGCCAGAGGTCCCCGAGTCGGCGTGTAATGGCCGTGGGGAGCAGAAACATCCGCACACGAGGCAGAAGAGACGAAAAGGTGCGGATGGGATGTGACCCACACCCGGCTGCACGCGATGGAGCCGGGGCCTCTCAGGCTGCCGTGGGAGCTGGACGCAGGACCACGTTTTGTTGTTTTTCTTTGCACGTGGGCCTCGTTTCCCAGGGGCCTCCAGGCCCGAGGCCAGGGCACAGCCGGCTGAACGTGGGAGAGTGGCTCCGCACTGCCCCCTTATGGAATGAACCCAGACCGAACGGAGCGACCAGATGTTACCGTAGCAACAAGATGACTGACAAACACAGGAGCCAGAGGCTGGAGATGGAGCAGACAGAGGATCTCAGACGGGGGTGGGGGGGATTAACCAGTGCATTGGCGTGTGTATTTGCCTTGCCCAGACAGACAATAGGGTGGTGAGGGCCTGGGCAGGGTGAGAACCAGGTGATGGGGGGCAATGGGAGGAAGCAGGCAACTGTAATATTTCAACAATAAATATTAAAGAAGAAGGAGGAGGAGGAGGAAGAGAAGGAGGAGGAGAAGGAGAAGAAAAACATTCACCGCAAGACCCTCGGAGCCTCCATGGAGGGCGGAGCTTCCGTGGAAGGCGTGGCATTGGCTGTCCTGCCTCTAAGGGCAGATGACCAGGATGAATGGGAGCTTCAGGCCTGGGGGCAGGGAGGCAGGAGACACAGCAGTAGCTCCTCTGAAATTCAACTCCGAGACCAAGCAGTGCGGGGCCAACAGTCCCTGCAGCTCTGCCCTCCAGCGGCACCAGGAGGCCTGGTCTTACCGGGCAGGCCCAGGGGGACCTTCTCCCCACGAGGAAAGAACATGGCTCCTCTCTCTCCCCCCCGGCACACCACGGGAGGAGACACGCTGGCTCTGTGCTTCTATTTCAGCGACACAGACCCAGGACAAAGGCGCTCTGAGGGACCAGCGCAGCTGCCAGCAGGAAGCGCCCAGCGATGAGCAGCTAGGACGGTGCTCAGACAACTGCAGCTCGCGAGCCACAGGCGGCTCTTTGGCCCCTGGAGGGTGGCTCTTCCACAAAACACCACGGCCTGGGCGAGTCTGTATTGAAGAAGTGGCATCAGAAGAAGTTTAAGTTTAAAAAATGTGGCTCTCCAAAGAAATTTCAATCGTGTACTGTTGATATAAGGCTCTGTAGACTAATGAGTTTGCCCACCACTGGGCTAGGATGCATGGGAGCCGCAGTGAGGACAGCAGTGAGAACACACTGTGCCTTCCCTAATACCTTCCCCCACGCCTCCCCCATGCCTTCCCCCACGCCCGCCCAGTGCCCTGCCCATGCTCAGCCCTGGAATCTGACCCCGGGTGATGTGGCGAGAAGGGAGCCCTTTTTAGCAAACATGCATTTCTCCGCTCACGGTGCGTTTGTAACATCGGAAACCCCTTCTCCTCCGCGGCTACTCAGGACTATGACCATTCCTCGGGGTCCCTTGAAGAAAGCCGATGGCAGACGAGCTGGATTTCTCTGACCCCCCTCCCCTCCGCCACCACCACCCTGTGGTCCCCGCTCTGCGTACGCGGCAGAGGGCGGTCTCTCCAGGAGAAATCGCTGGCCCAGGACACAGTGGCTGCGGATGCCATCACCTCACAAACCAAGGAGCAGTCTTTGCCACAGACGCTCTTCTGGGCAAACACACAGCCCCCGCCCTAAAAACGCCTTCCTCCCCAGCTTCTGTCTCTGCCTTCTTCATCCTCTGAGTCTTTTCCTCTTTGGCTTTGACCTCTCCCGTCACCCAATCAAGTTACGGCAAAAGCAGCGGTGAGGTTGATTGACAAGTAGGTTGATTGACAGGTAGGACAACTCTGTCCTGGCGGCTCCTCAGCTACATTCCCTTCCCAGGAGCATGGGAGCATGGGAGGCGGAGAGGCCGGGGCCTGGGTGTATCTGCAGTGCCAGCGGGTATGCTGAGCTCCTGGGCCAATCGATTTACATGGGACGCATTATTTTTTTTTTTTTAATCAGCGGAAAACTGAGCCCATGCTGCCCGCTGCCTCCATCATTAATTATAATTAAATAATCACCTTGTTAGCACCATCTGTCATCCTGACGTGTCCAATGTCTGCAAGATGGATGTCATAGGCAAATCAATCTCGGACGGCGGGCGCCTCTTCGTGGTGAAGGAGCCTCGTGTGTGCTGAGCTCCGGTTTGTAAGAACACAGTTTTCACAAATTGAAACGCCATTGATTGCTGCGGCTGGTAAATCACATTGGACGTGTGTGCCGTGAATTCCCCATCCTGCCGAGGACGCCCCGTCCCATACATCACGGCAGGGCCTGGCCGTGGATCCACATCTCGCGCTGACGCCAATAATTAGCGCTCCTTCCCGGGCACGGCGCGGTGCCGCCATCGATTTCCCCGTTTACTCAGAGCGATGGCCTTGCTAGGCAGCGGGGATTTCCACGCTGTTGACAGTGTGTTTTGGAAAATGAGGAGCTTCCTCTGTCCAGACGAACTCCAGTGTGGATGGAACGTGTGCGTTCCGCGGCCCTTCTCCCTGACGCTGGTTCTACGGCTGCTCCCGGCCCGTGGGCCTCCCCTGGTGCTGGCAAACCCTGGTTCCCATCCCCGAGGCAGAGGGCACCGGTGCCGAGGGGCTGAGCGGGGTCCCTGGTCCGAGGAGGAGCTGCCTGCGGGCCGTGGCTGCTCAGGGTCACACAGCTGTGGCTCCCGTTGGACAGAACACCTTTGGCCCAGGTCCTCGCCTTCGGCACGGCGCCACCTTGGCTTCCGAGACCCTCCCCCCTCGCCCCTGTGAGAGGGAGAAGAAGGGGATAAGGCATGCCTCTCAGTGTGGTAAGAGCCGTGAGGTGAGGGTCCGTCCGGGAGAGCTGTGGGGTGTGCCAGGCCAGGGGATCCGCCTCTGTGGCAGGGGTCCTCTGGCGACGAGACACAGGGGTAGTTTCTTGCTAACGCGGCCACATGTGTGGAAGCAGGGCGTGCGGTTCCATCCATCAGAGATGGTTCTGTCCCCGAGGCCGCCTCAGGGAGCAGATGAGCTTTTGAGTTCGTTCCAGGCTTTTAATTCAAAGTGCTTTCACGCAGTGATTTATTTTAAAACTTTTGTTTAAAATGTGAACACATGACAACCTTCGCCATTTCACATAAAACCCCTCGCGCTGAAACCTGGCTCTCCGTCCACGTCCGCGTGCGGAGGCTCACCCGGCCGGTCGGAGCCCCGCGCCGTCGGTGAGACAGGCGTGAGCAGAGATGTGGCCACGGGCCGCTGGGCTCGGGCGTGAGGACCGCTCGGCTCGGAGGGGCCGTCCCTGTGCGGTGTCTTCCCGGCTCCT